GTAGGAGGTCCACCTCAAACCAGCCAGAGTAGGAATCCACGAGGACCTGGTAGTGCTTCCCGTGCCAATCAAAAATATCAGCTGCCACTGTGGACCATGGGAGCTCTGGGACGGGGTGTAGTGTGAGGGGTTCTTTCTGCTGATGTTGTGCAGTGCTGTTGCAAACCGTGCATGAGAGTAACTCCTCTGCGATGTCCTTCGACATATCGGGCCAGAAGATGACGCTTCTGGCTCTGCGTTTGGTGGCGTCGACACCCGGGTGGCCCTTGTGAACGATGTTGATGTACTCTCTCTGTAGGGTGCGGGGAATGACTGCTTTGTGGCCTTTCCTGATGACACCATCCTCCACACTGAGCTCGTCTCTGAAGGGAAAGAAAGGCGCAATGGAAGCCTGGAGTTGTCCTTCTCTGGGTGGCCATCCTCTGTTGATGACTCTGCTGAGGGTTTGCAGCACTTCGTCCTGCTCCGTGTGCCTTTTCAGCTCCTCCAGACGGGCCGTGGAGATGCACTCGACGGTCATGACTTCAAACTCCGTGGCCTCGGACTGGCTCTGTGGGGTCTTTGTGCATGGAGCTCTGGAGAGGGTGTCTGCAAGATACATGTGCTTACCCTTTTTGTAGACCAGGCTGAAGTTGTAGCTTTGCAGGCGTAGCAGCATCCTCTGTAGCCGGGCAGGGGCGACGTGAATGGGCTTCTTGACGATGGTGACCAAGGGCTGGTGGTCTGTTTCCACTATAATGGGCTTTCCGTAAACATAGTCTCTGAATTTAGTGCAGGCGAAGACGACAGCCAGCAGCTCTTTTTCGATCTGGGCATACCGTGTTTCGGTGTCGGTAAGGGAACGAGACGCGAAGGCTATTGGTCTGCCATGTTGTAGACATGCAGCACCTAGACCATGGGACGACGCGTCACAGGTGAGTGTGACTGGCTCCTCAACGTTGTAGTATGCTAAGACTGGAGGGCTCGACAGGCAGGCTTTCAGGCGGTCGAAGGCCTCTTGGTGCTGCTGAAACCAACACCAGGCTGTCTCCTTGTGTGTGAGCTGTCTCAGGGGTGCTGCAATCTCGCTAAGGTTTTGTATGTACTTGCCGAGGTAGTTGACCATGCCAAGGAACCGCTGCAGTGATGTGACATCCGTGGGAACCGGCATGGCGCTGATGGCAGCTGTTTTTGTAGGATCTGCCTTAAGGCCTTCACAGGTGAAGATGTGTCCCACATACGATACCTGTTCTAGTCGGAACTTGCACTTTGCAGGGTTTAGCCTGAGGTTGACTTCTCTTGCACGTGTGAGGACTTTTTCTAGATTGGCATCGTGTTCGGCGACAGTGCGTCCGCCAATGATGATGTCGTCGACAATGACTGAACATGGGTAACCTGCGAACAGCTGTTCCATTGAGCGCTGAAACACTTCACTAGCAGAATTGATCCCGAAGGGCATGCGCAGGAACCTGAAACGCCCGAACGGGGTGCTGAACGTGGTGAGCATTGAGGATTTCTTATCGAGACGCACCTGCCAGAAGGAATTTTTTGCATCTAGAACGGAGAACACAGTGGCTCCTGCCATCTGTGCCGCCACTTCTTCCACGCTGCGCATTGGGTGGTGGGGCCTCTTCAATGCTGTGTTGAGGTCCTTTGGATTGATGCACAGCCTGATCTCATTCTTGTCCTTCTTGTGTGCCGCCACCATGGATGAGACCCAGTCAGTTGGCTCGGTGACGGGTGTTATAACACCTATACGCTGCATGCGCTCCAGCTCGTCTTTGACTCTCTCTCGCATGGCGACAGGTACGCGGTGGGGGGGGCGCACTACAGGCTGCACATTGGGGTCCAGTTTCATGGAGTACACGACAGGAAGTTTGCCCAGTTCGTCGCTGAACAGCTCGTTGTACTGGGCTACTATGTGAGAGCTGAAGCCTGTGTTACCTTCCACGCCGACTTGGTGGACATCAGGGCTCATTTTGACTATGCCCATGTTCTTGCACGCCCTGAAACCTAGCAGCGGTTGCACCTCCCTGTCCACCACATAGAAAGGCAAGGGATGGTGCTGCTCCTTTAGGCGACATGGCAGCGTAACCATGCCGCTGGTTTCGATCCTGGTGCCCCCATAAGCGATGAGACTGACAGCTTTCCCCTGCTTGACTAGCTGTTCTCCATCCGCCACTGTTTTATAAGTCATTAGTGACATTACATTACATCTCGCCCCTGTATCAACTTTCATTTCAAGACGTGTGTTGTTTATGTCCACGGTGACAAATCCCTCATCCTTCTCTGCTGTCACGGAATCAACACTGTTCACTTGGTTAGCTATTTCTACACCATCCACATAGAACGTCCCGTCATCATATGACGATTCAGCCACCTCGATTTCATGTACAGATCTTCTAGCAGCTCTACCTTGTTGGCTGTGTGGTTTGGATCTGCAGCAATGTTTGTAATGGTTGGATTTCCCGCAGCTGTGACACTGTTTTCCAAAAGCAGGGCAGCTTTCCCGCTTAGCTACATGGCTGCCTCCACAGTTTGAGCAATTTGTGGTCTGTGGAGTGTACGGCGGCTTGGGTTTGGCTGAGCTACCTGGGGCTGGCTTGACTGCGTCAACGCTGGTAGCAGCTGTTGCTAGCGTTTTGCTGCTTTCCTCAGTCATCTCGTGGATTCGGGCGATTGAGATGGCTTTTGCCAGAGTAAGCTCGCTGTCCCTTAACAAAGCTTTCCTTAGACTGTCACTGGTCACACCGCAGACGATGCGGTCACAGATTAGCTCGTCTGTTATCTCTCCGAAATGACAGCATTTAGCTTTGATCCTCAGATCACTGATAAATGATTCAACAGTCTCACCTTGTCTCTGGTTTCTTGTATGAAACTTGTGTCTGTCCATTGTCCTGTTGTTTTGAGGGTTGCAGATTTCAGCAAACTTTCTTTTTAGGCATTCGGGGTCCTCTCTGGACTCGGCGGGAGAGACAATCCTGAACTGTCCTTCGCCGTCGGGAACGCGCACCTCTGGGGCATAGACGAACGAGCGCTCCCGCTCGATGGCCTCCGGTCCTGCGATGTTGAGGAGAATGTAGGCCTGGGTTTTGGCCGGCTTGTCATAATGTGCCGCGGCAATGAAGATATCATACTCCCTTTCAAAAATTCGCCAATTCTCTGCGATATTTTCGTTAAAAACAAGGGGGTCGGGTCTGCGAAAACCATCCATCACGGGGAAGAAAAGGGACCCACCGATGTAGCTGTTGTAGTAGCTAACAAACAAAACGCCGCGTAACAACGGACTATACTGTACTCATGCGGTAGATAAAAATAATCCCGCCGGCGAGAAGGTTCGTCCGGCTTCTGACACCATGTAAAAAGTTTCTTCTGTCGGCCATAAACGATAGAGACGAGTTTGGTGTAGCTGTAGCTTTTTTCTTTACTACTTGCCGTAACGGCTGCTCACACAGAATACAGGAACCGGTGACGTCACCGAGCATACAATACAGTACGGTGGCCAGTGTTGGACAAACAGTGTATAGTCATTTCTGAAATGATCTACAACAACTATTCCTTATTTGTGCACATTATGTTTTTGATGAAAATCCTTTCACTAAAATGCCATCGGAACGCTTATAATATTAAGTGTGTCTCAGCCCCCCCTTCAGTGTCCACCATATTGGATCAGTCCATTTGCTGCACATGTTCAGAAAGGTCCAAACAGACAGCAGCAAACCATTTGAAAAGAAACGATGCAAAGAGCAGTGTTGCCAACTTAGCGCTTTAGTCGCTATATTTAGCCACTTTTCAGACCCCTCTAGCACTTTGATTTCAAAAAAGCGCCTAGCTCCAAATCTAGAGACTTTTTTCTGCTTCTGAAGACTTTGGAGACAACATCTAAAAGCAGCGAACTCTGCTCTCCAGAGCAAGTAGATTGGTAACCCCGCCTCCTGCTCTCCTCTATCTTGTCTGCTGTCATGAATCATGCAGCTATTATTTCATCCAAATGAAAAATGGAGAACAGAGAAGCAGATCATGGCTTGTCTACAGTGAAAAGAAGGACTGGGTTATTTACTTTTGGAAACACAGGAAGGAGCAATCAGCGAAGTGAGCTTTCATTCCTTTAGAGACAGCATGAAAAGTCAGCTGAGTACAAAACATAGAGAGGAAAACAAGAAGAAAAGGGACAAGAAGAGAGGGACAAAACCTAGAACAAATAATGGATGTATATTCTATTAACATTTCTCTATCTGTATAATGGGTCTGTTTTATGTCTTCTCAATTTAAAGGGCCCCCTCCCTGTTTTTGCCTAGGGCCCCAAATGTCCTAAATCCGCCCCTGACTATATTGAAAAGAGGACTTCTAAAAGATCACAGTGGTTTTAAATGTTTTGTAACGTCTGCAGGGAATCTGTGTATCTTCCCCTGATAGCTGCACTGGCTGCCCTCCAACAGTCAGCGATCCTTCCCTGTGAAAAACTATCCGCCAAGTGTGTGGAAGCTCACTACTGCTCACCCCTGCACTCCTCTGCTATTATTAGATTACTATATCACCCCCCTTAATCCCTGAATAAATCCTGGAATATTCAGAGCGATATCTGCACCTTGGTGTAATTCCCCAAAGCGCAGCTCCGTGGAAACAACAACTAAATAACACGCAAGAGAGCCAACAAACAACTCGGTAAAGTCACGCAGTCCACGGGTGGGACTTACCGGGGATCCAGATGGAGGCTTCTACCAGGGAACCCCCCCACAGACACACTCGGTTGTTTTTGGTTTCCTAAAAGCGCTTTAATGTGTCCACCTGTGAGGCGCAGCGCACACCTACTGATCCCTGAGGAGCGCTAATCCAGCAGCTCCAGCGCCAAACCACGTGACTACCTCCATACCTTAGCCTTTAAAAAAATAAAAACACCCTCTCATATCTCAGCCAATCAGAGAGAGGCAACTTACATATTTTATGCTTTCCTTTTAAAAACTCAAATCGACCAAATTTACGTTTTAAAAGTACATCAAAATAAACAGCGAGAAAAAAAGTGCTTTGACAGTTTTAATGGCTTTGATATATTATACAGTAGCTGTCAAAAATTATTTATTTGATATTTATATAATTTAATTATTCGGCTAAAAATAAAACGTAAAAGTTATTTACAGCGTAATCATATTAACAGGTGCTGAGGTATTAAGAAAGAAAAAACAAAACAGGAATTTGATAAAAAATCATCAAGTTGCGCCATCTAGTGGTCAGTTCTGTCCACTTCTCTGATCAAACAGTCCATCCGCTGAGGCATAGATGGCTACTATGAGTCTGTAGGGGAGTGAGGCTGCAGGAGGCCTCATTATTTGTATCTCCGGTTTCTTTCTTCGTACCTCCGCGCAGGGCTGGAGGTTTTCAGGTCCTGAGAGGAGACTTTCTTCACGTTGTCAACTGACATCAGCCGAGGGGACTTATCGCTTGATGTGTGCGTGTTCACGTAGATTGGCTCCTCTGCTGGAGGAAACAGGTGAGAACAGGGTGAGGACATCATTCTGAACCTCAGAGTAATTCAATTCAGTTTATTTCTATAGCGCCAATTCACAACACAAGTCATCTCAAGGCCCTTTACAGTTCAACCAGATCATCCAGTCAGATTGATTCAAAGTTTTCTATCTAAGGAAAACAGTTCATTGCATCGACTCATTGACTCTCCAGCAATCCCTCACACCAAGCATGCTTGTAGCGACAGTAGAGAGGAAAAACTCCCTTTTAACATGAAGAAACCTCCAGCAGAACCAGGCTCAGTGTGAGCGGCCATCTGCTGAGGCCGACTGGGGTTCAAGGAGACAGAAGCAGAGACACAAAAAGCAGCTGTAAAAGGAGGACTCATCCAGGAAACGAGGGGAGTGGCGGCGTAGTGGTTAGGGCATAGGGCTTTGAATCGTGAGATCCCCCACTCCCACAGACTGCCACTCTGGGTCTCTGAGCAAGACCCTTAACCCCACACTGCTTCCTGGGCACTGGACAATGGCAGCCCACTGCTCCCCAAGGGGATGGGTTAAATGCAGAGAAGTAATTTCCCTCTGGGATTATTAGAGTATAGAAAATCAAAATCGAATCAAAATCGAAACACACAGCCAGGCAGATGAGCTCGGAGCCAGCTCCCATGTCAGAGGATGGAGAGAGCACATCCAGTTAGTCACCGTCAGAGAAACAGGACTACACTGGAAAAGCCAATATATAATAGGCCAATCTATTATATATTTATATTATTATATGTTTATAATATTAGAATATAGGTTTAAAAGAGAAATAGATATTCATGTTTTGTTAAAGTTATTATTATTATTGTTATTATTATTATCATTATTATTATTACCATTATCATTACTATTAGTGTTGGACTGATACCAGTATCAGGCGGGGCCCTGATTCAGCACTAAAATGGTGGTATCGGTATCAGTGAGTACCAACTAATAGAGCCCCGATACCATTCTGAGAGCCAAAAGTTTATTTAACTATTGTCCCCCATTCCAGGTAGGCAATAAAAAGTTCTACTGGATTCACTTTGTATTAGTCTTGTTCCTGCTTCACAAAGGTAGGCAGCAGCTTGACAAAGTCATGATGGCAATTATTTTACATCCCAGTAGTATGCAGTTCTTCATATATAAACACAGATCAATATCAAACAGATGGCATCGGTATCGGCCGATACTGCACAGCCAGGTATCGGGGTCAAACAAATGGCATCGGCGCATTTTTATAGTTGTTATTATTATTATTAATTCAATTCAATTCAGTTTATTTATATAGCGCCAAATTCACAACACATGTCATCTCAAGGCACTTTACAGTTCAACCAGATCATACAGTCAAATTGATACAAAGTTTTCTATCTAAGGAAAACCAGTTGATTGCATTGACTCATTGACTCAAATACAATCCCCCACACTAAGCATGCTTGTAGCGACAGTGGAGAGGAAAAACTCCCTTTTAACAGGAAGAAACCTCCAGCAGAACCAGGCTCAGTGTGAGCGGCCATCTGCCGAGGCCGACTGGGGTTCAAGGAGACAGAAGCAGAGATACAAAAAGCAGCTGTAAAAGGCGGCCCCGTCCAGGAAACACACAGCCAGGCAGACGAGCTCCAAGGCAGCTCCCATGCCAGAGGACGAAGAGAGCACATCCACTCAGTCACGGTCAGAGAAACAGGACCACACTGGAAAACAGGCCGATCTCCAACATCTATTAACAAGGGTGTTGATAGAAGCAGCACAGCTGATGTTTTTTTCCAGGATGACGTCACAGCCAAACAGGAATAGACGAGGCAAAGCTACTCTGAGGAAAAGCAGAGAGAGCAGAAGGTTAGAGATTGAACTAACAGATTCTGCAGAATAGGAGAACAGAGAGAGAATGAAGCAGAATGATGAAATGGGGGTCCCTATGTCCTCCAAAAGTCTAAGCCTATAGCAGCAGAACTATAGAGATAGCTCAGGATAACCTGAGCCACCCTAACTATAAGCTTTATCAAAAATGAAAGTTTTAAGCCTAGCCTTAAAAGTAGACAGGGTGTCTGCCTCACGGACTAAAACTGGTAGTTGGTTCCACAGGAGAGGAGCCTGATAACTAAAAGATCTGCCTCCCATTCTACTTTTAGAAATTCTAGGAACCACTAGTAAACCTGCAGATTGAGAGCGAAGTGCTCTGTTAGGAACATAAGGAACAATCAGATCTCTGATATAAGATGGAGCTTGGCCATTTAAGGCTTTATGTGTGAGAAGGAGGATTTTAAATTCTATTCTTGATTTAACAGGAAGCCAATGAAGAGAAGCCAGGATAGGAGAGATATGATCTCTCTTTTTCATTTTCATTAGAACTCTGGCTGCAGCATTTTGGATCAGCTGAAGGCTTTTAACTACAGTTTGTGGACTTCCTGATAGTAAAGAATTACAATAGTCCAGCCTTGAAGTAACAAATGCATGGACTAGTTTCTCAGCATCACCCCTGGACAGGATATTTCTAATTTTTGCAATGTTCCTCAGATGAAAGAAGGAAATTCTAGAAACCTCTTTGATATGGGATTTAAATGACAGGTCCTGATCAAAAATAACACCAAGATTTTTTACTTTATTATCTGAAATCAGTTTAATCCCATCCAAATGAAGTGACTGGCTAATCAGTTTCTTTTTCAGAGACTCTGGTCCAAAGACTATAACTTCTGTTTTGTCTGCATTCAGAAGCAGAAAATTAAGAGTCATCCAGGTTTTTATGTCTTCAAGACATGCCTGTAATCTATGTAATGGATTAGCTTCATCTGGATTTATAGACAGATATAGCTGGGTATCATCAGCATAACAGTGGAAATTAATCCCATGCTGTCTAATAATTCTACCAATTGGGAGCATGTATAAAGTAAAGAGAATTGGTCCTAGCACTGATCCCTGTGGTACTCCACAGGTAACCTTTGAGCGTGTTGAAGATCTATCATTAACATGAACAAACTGAATTCGATCAGATAGATAAGATTTAAACCAGTCTAGTGCTGTTCCTTTAATTCCAACAAAATATTCAAGTCTTTCTAAAAGAATATTATGGTCAACTGTATCAAATGCAGCACTAAGATCCAACAGGACGAGCACAGATACAAGTCCATTATCTGAGGCCATGAGAATATCATTAGTGACTTTCACCAGAGCTGTTTCAGTGCTATGATGAGCTCTAAAGCCAGACTGAAACTCTTCAAAAAGTTCATTATGGTGGAAGTGATCGCAAACTTGTTTGGCAACTACTTTCTCAAGAATTTTGGATAAGAAAGGAAGATTGGATATAGGTCTATAATTGACCAAGTCATCTGGGTCAAGAGACGGTTTCTTAAGCAGAGGTTTAATTACAGCAATCTTAAAAGCTTTAGGTACATATCCCTGTAACAGAGATAGATTAATCACATCTAAAATGGAGGAGGAGATCAAAGGGAATACCTCCTTAAATAACCTGGTTGGAACTGGATCTAACATACAAGTTGAAGGCTTAGATGAAGACAATAATTTTGCTAATTCAGAGAGTTCAACTGGATCAAAGCAGTCTAAACCCGGTTCAGATTCCATGACTACCTCAGGTACAATCGCGGATAGAGGAGTGCTTATGATCTTATTTTTAATAAGATCAATCTTATTTATAAAGAATCCCATAAAATCATTGCTGCTAAGAGCAGGTGGAATGGACGGTTCAACAGAGCTATGGCTCTGGGTGAGTTTGGCAACTGTATTAAAAAGAAATCTAGGATTATTCTTATTCTCCTCTATTAATGAGGAGAAGTATGCTGCTCTTGCTTTACAAAGGGTCCTCTTATACAGCAGTAAACCATTTTTCCAGACTAGGAAGGACTCTCGCAGGCCTGTGGAGCGATATTTTCTCTCCAGTTTCCTAGCATTTTGCTTCAAAGTACGCAGCTCTGCATTAAACCAAGGAGCAAGCTTTCTATTTTTAACGGTTTTCATTTTCAAAGGAGCTGCGTTGTCTAAGGCAATACGCAGAGAACTAGCAACCCCCTCAACAAAATCATCAACCTGTGAAGGGGAATAAGCTAAGCTTTTGCACTCTGCATCACTGCTCAGTGACACAGAGCAGAGAGAAAGTGAAGCAGATTCTTTAAAATTTATAACTGCACTATCTGATAAAGATCTACTAAAATTGAACCTTCTTTTGGGGGAGGAGAACTCTGTTAAAGTAATCCTGAAGGTTATTAGAAAGTGGTCAGAGAGGACAGGGTTGTGAGGAAATACTGTTATTTCTTCACATTCTATGCCGTATGTCAGCACAAGATCCAAAGTATGAAGATGAGAATGCGTGGGACTATTCACATTTTGAACAAAGCCAATAGTGTCTAAGATAGCATTAAAGGCTGCTCTTAAGCTATCGCCTTTATTATTATCTCCTCTCAAAGGGAATACAATAAGAATATTATAACATTTTATAGATTTACTTCAAAAATAAAATTTCCATTAATCCAAATATTAAAAAAAAAGTAACATACAGTAACACCCACATGTTTTAAGATAAATTAATCATATAATCTATTTTGTGCCTTTATAAAATATTTCTGACATGCGATTTATTTAGTGAGCAAATATCCTCCTCTCCACAGTTAGGTTTATAATTTAAATCCCAATAAAGTTTGTTTAAATCTTTTCTCAGAGCAGAAAAGTTATTTGCACTGCAGTAACTATAGCTGCAAATTCTAACTAATCTAATTGAATATAAATAACTAATGTTACGGATTTAGTATAGAAGAAAAAAAAGATTTGTTAAAAGTCGAATCCAACATTTTTTTCTTTTAATGAAAACGATTATTTAGTTTTTCTTTCAAGGCACCAAAATATTTTTGTTGACAATAAATATTTCTTTATTTGTAAAAGGAAAATCTCAACAGATTTTGATCCCATCATATTTCGCTGCCTTCGGTCCTGATTGATTGAATCTCTCACTGCCCTGATGCTTTCTAACGGTTTGTTTTTTGGATATTTCTCCAGATTACTTTTTCCACGCAAAGCAGAACCTGCTGTAAACGATTAAAACATCCAGACGGATATTTTAAGATATTTTTTAAGTAATTATTTCACTTATGTTCCAATAAGTTTACCAAACAACTTATTTGGACCCAAAATGTTAACGATGCCAGGATGTTAAATGATTTTTAAGTCCCAGAAGAGCGTTTGATCATTAATGTTGGTTTTTCATTCTTAGTAAGTTTTTGTGTTCATAAGAAAAAAAAAAAAAAAGTTTTTTGTAATTCTCAGTAATTTTCGGCAAGTGGCTGAACTGTTTCTGTCCTACTTCTGCCTCTGAGGTCATGCGGTTAAACTTAATGTAGGTTTTTGTTCTGCTTTTGTTCCTTCCGGTGCCCCTCTGCCACGCCATTGACACCATTACTACACCTTCCTCAATTATTCTGCTTTCTCTGTACGATACATTCACCACATTATTAACAGCATGTTTCATCAAATGCACTGAAATCATTACTTTCAGTGGTTAGACAGTATTTTGCATCTCTGATATCTTTGAGCTCTGAGAAATCTGGGACATTCACAAATTATTTTTTGCTGTAATTGAGCTTTGCATGCAGTTTACATTATAATGTTCCAAAGAGCAGGATAAAGTACAGCCTGCGCATCTTCTTTTTATTTTTCCATATATAGTCTAAAGTTTATTTGTTATATTTTACTGTTCCCTTGTAAGTAAACTAGAAAACTGGTGCTTAACACCTAGAACCCTACGGACCCACCGGTGGGTTCAGCTGCTACGTGACCTCGTAATTTTAAACCCCCAGTATTGATGTAAAAAAACACATTTGGCACAGTTTGGTGACATTTATGGATAAATGTGCCAAAATGGCCTCTCCGCCTAAGAAATTTCTCACTAATACCATTCTAAAATAAATATGATTCATCTGATTGAGTCCGAATTTGGTATATTTTTACACAACATTTAGATTTAAAAGTCTGTACTACTTTTTTGTGCTATAAATAATATTTTGGTAGTGTTTTGCAATGTTTATTTCAAAGAAAATTTTGGCGAGGTTCAAAAAATGCAAAATATTTTGTATTTTGTCCCTAATATTTCAGGCAGGGTCAAAGCTACAATGGTGCTGACACCAGAAAACCATTCTATGACATCTTACCTTTACAGAGGTACCAAAAGTTTCTTCTTAAACCTAATAGCTGTGAGGCTATAAGTTATTTACTTTTGTGTGTTTTTGTCAGGCAGAAATTTATTTATACCCCTTAGGGTGTAAGAGGTTAAGATTTGGAAGTCTTTCACAAGTTTCAGCATTTTAACAAGTGCACAAACCATAGGAAATTAAAAAAATGGCTGATATCCCCCCCCCCCTTCCCTATTTCATTGTATTTGGGGTCATAACCCAATGAACATACAAGGCTTTACTTCGCTTACGTAACACTTAGCTACTTGCAAACTTGCTATATTTAAAAACCTGGTTAAAATAAATATATCTTAAACTAAGATAACTGATTGAACATCAGTTTCAAAGCGCAAGTACAATACAAGTGCCATTTGTTGAGGTCCTTAAAAAATGTACCAGGGCGGCCAGGGTATCGGGCCCGTGTTTTTTCATTGGGGGGCACAGAACAAAAGAACTAAAATCAGACATAAAAAAAAAAATAAATAAAAATCTAAGATAAGAGCGAATTGTTTAGTACATTAATGGAGCAACAGAGTCATTGTTGCACATTTCTGATCTAACAGATGAAAACTGGAATCCCATCATAGCATGGCTGAAGTATTAAAGTAAACTTAGCAAAATATTAAATTGGTCCAAGGGAGAATTAGTAACAGCCTTCTTTGTCATCATATATCATCATTTTGGAGTGAAGTAAAAATATTCTTTAAAAAAACAATTTGCCCCTAATTAGAGCAAGTAAATAAGATTATCTGCCATAGGAATGAGTATTTCTGCTCTTAGAATAAGATAAATAGATATCATTCACCTGAAATAAGATAATAGGGATTTTTTAAAAAATATTTTAAACATGAATCATCTAATTGCATTAGCAAACTGTTTTATCTCCTCAAATCAAGCAGAAAAATACGCTTACTTGAAAAAAAAAAAAAAAAAAAAAAACTACTTAACATTGCCCATGTTTGCCCCTGACCCATGACCTTTACAGATGACATAAAGCTTGACACCCCTCGCCATGAACGGTATGTTTTAAACACTTGCTAAAATGATGAAAAGTGTGAAAGACCCCAAAATGATCTGTATAAAGAAAAACAATCTAGAAATAAGTCAACATTTCATGAATGAGGTTTATTTACCCTAAATTTGAGCAGGTAAATAAGATGATTTTCCAATAGAATTGGTATGAAATAAGACAAAGAAATTGTTTTTTTCTTATTTTAAATGTAAATTGTCTTGTTCCATTGACCAAGTGTCTCACTTACCTCCTCAATTCAAGAAAAAAATGCACTTAGTTTAAAAAGAAATGACTTCTTTAGATTACGATTTGTTCCTGTGTGGTTAGTTTCGCTGTGTCATATAAGTACTTTATAAAAAAATAACATTACAATGATAGGTTCATTTTTTTAATCTGATCTATGTTAAAAAAATCATTGTTTGCCTTTTTCCTTCTTTTAGAAAACAGAGAAAGGAATAAGATCTGGCCTCAGATCTCTTTAAGTTGAATGAATTCTGGTCAGCTGGTTCTGACCACCTCTCATGGTCCGTACAGAGTCCAGCTTGTGCGGTGCTGACGTCAGATCAAAATCCTTGTGCATCTTCCTTCTAACCTCAGAGGAGAAGACAGACTGTTGCACTGGCGTTTGAGTTTGTCTCACGCTGCACTGCTTAACCACACAAACCCCAGCTTACTCAGTTCGCATCCTCTGGCCAAGGCTCTGCCAGATACCTCCTAATCTGTTAGCAGAGCTCTCTGTCTTTTGTTCTGTCGCCCACAAACACAGCTTCACCAAAGTGAAAACCCGGCTCCTTTTAAATGTAAATTGCAGCAGAGAAATTAATCATTTTCTAACTATTGAATATTTGATCTGACTCTGTCTACTGAGTTTTTTTTTGTGTGACTTTACTGACCTCTTTAACTCATGCCTTTTTTTAGTGTCGCATAGTCTGATAGCTATCAACATTTTCCAACCCAAAATAGAAGAGCGGTACCTGTGCTTCTGTTGCACGGCCTTTTCTGGGCAAGAAAGACGACCAGCAGCATGATCAGGATCAGGATAAAAGACGAAACGCCAGTGAGGACCCACATCCACAAATTATCCTCCGTGGACGCGACGCTGATCCCTGGAAAAAAAAGGAATTTCTGCTAAAATAACACGATTTGACTGATACAGACGAATACAGCAGTATGCAAACTTTTCCTTTCTTATCCCATTAAAAGAATGTAGTAGGTCACCACCTAGGATTTGATAACTGGTTTAATATACAGGTCTAACTAGTACCAGGGCTTAAATTCACACAAATAGCATCTACAGCTGATGGATTTTAGTTTTTTTTTGTTTTGTTTTTTAAATGTCTTAGTGGAGCTACAGTGTTTATAGAACTAATACATAATTTTTGCTACTTCGTTTGATTTGCTGGATCAGAGAACCCAATTTTAAAAAAAATATTATTTATGATCACATTCATCCAGTTTGGTATATTTAGTTTATATGTTGCCAAGTTAACCCTTTATAGGGCAACTTAGCGTTTTTGATCACTTGCATCCCCCTTACAAATGGAGTCCCCCCGTCCCTCAGTGAGGTCTAGAAGCACAAGATCTATATCCAGCCATTCAGCAAAGATCCTGCTACATGGCTGTACATCTTATTTTGCTATTTGAACAATTGCGATGAGCTTTTGAATGATATATTACCTACTGTAAATTAAGTTTAAAAAAAAGTTAACAAGTCGAGAAAAAAAGGTAAAAAGTTAATTGAAAATTTAAAAAGTTAATTAGCCTAGTTAACAATTATATTTAGTTTTATAAACTGAATTATCAATTAATGTCTCTAAGATTATGTTGAACAAAAAATGTGTTTCTTTCACTCTCAGAGTGTTTTTCATGATTTTTTTATAGAAGCACATTTGTTATTTTCCTTAATATATGTAATAATATATGTCTTGTCCTGGATTCCAATAACACTATTGGCTTGAAATTTTGATTTTTTTAAGGATTTCACTGAGTGCCCAATAAATGGTTAAGTAAATTAAGTTGAGCAAAGTTAGTTTAATTACTTGCCACCAGTGGAAGTAGTTTGTTTAAATTGAAGCTGCATTCTCCTTCAAAAAAATTGAAATCTAAATAAGTCATTTTTTCTTAGAATAAGTGCATTTTTCTCAAATTGAGGATGTAGGAGAGACACTTACATTTAAAATAAGGAAACTAAACTACATTGTCTTATTTTGTGTGCATAATACCTGATTAAATTATTTTAAGAGTAAAAATACTAATTCCATTGGCAAATCATCTTATTTACTGACTGAAATTAAATCGAAATACGCCTAATTTAAGAATTTGATTTACTTTTTTTTCCAGTGTTGTAACATGTTTGCAGGTTCATTGCATGTATTTTCACAGCTGCAGTTGTTTTGTCTAAGCTGACCGATCACCTAGATTGGCTGACACCTCTCTAGACATTTAGATTGTAGATCCTTCTACAGTGGAAACCCTACACCACCCAGACTCTGCTAGAAAGACAGTTGTTCATTTTAACGTCCGCTCACAGATGCATACACACACCTTGGGTTTTCGTTGTTTCTGACTGAACCGTTGTATTTCCCATAAAGTTCTCCACTGTAACAAGGCGGTACGAGAAGCATTGATTCAGTTATTGCAAGCCAGAATCTCAGAAGCATTAATCAGTTCATTCATGAGGTTAAGCAGAAGCACAGCAGGGTTTAGGAAGGAGCGTTTTTCTAGGCACTTATTGTACCCTTTAGAAAACTGTCTGCAGCTCTGTGATGTGGTTGTAAGCATCTTTTTTATTGCAAACATAAGAAGATGTAACAAGAATTTGGAAAACAGTAAGTCAAATTAAAAAGAGGTATATTTTATGATTAAGGTAGAAATTAACAGATATGCTACATTTACAGACACTAAAGCTTTTGTTTGTCAGCTTACAACGACACCATAGTGATGCTGTCAATAAACAGTCAATATTCTGCTTATAGTAAAATGTAATAAATACTTACATGCTATTTCTGTTCTGTTGCTGATAAAATCAGTTAGTACAGGAATCTCACTTGTAACTTTGCAAGAGTAAAATCCATAGTTTCTTTTACTTATATTTGATAGAGTGCATGCACTTTGGCATCCATTCATCAGGGTGTAATTCGCATTAAGAGTATTATTAAGATTACAATGTTCAACAGTTAAGTTGTCGGTGTCACTTTGTTTCAAGCTTTGGAATGAATATTTCACTCTAAATCTTTGTGACTTGTTGATATTTAAACAGCAGCGCAAGGTCAGAGAGGAGCCCAAATTGACATGCTGCTTTTTCACTTCATCATCCAAACGTATATCTTGCTCCATTGGCATCCCCAGGACCGCTCCTGCCACTAGAAATATGATAAGAAAACAGGGTTAAACATACAAATATGTAAATGTTTTACCTGGTTTCCACTGCATACTTCCAAGGCTTAAATTAAAGCCTGTTCATTTCTTACCCGTGAGAAATGCTACAATCACCCATTTAAGCCACATTTCTATCTTGTGATGCAGGCAGCGGTCGTCCTCAGAGCGTCCTCCTTTCTCAAACTGCCTTCCTCTCAGCATCAGACTCAGATACATGCAGACCTGCGTGGGTGGGGGGGGGGGGGGGGGGGGGGGGGTGGAAAGACCGGAGGAGTGGCTTTCTGCTAAAGGGCTGTAAGGCTGGCGGTGCCTTTACTGGAGGAGGCTGACTGTATTGGAGGTGAACATAACATTTCTTTTGAAAGTTGGAAAACAGCGTAGGCTGTCTGTAAAACAACCTGAAAGAAATACAGAAGGAGTTTTTTGACCCAAACTGTAACAAACTGTTTGATAAGTGCCCTTTTGTCAGAAAACATCAAAGCAGCCTGCATGAACAACCCCCTTGAAAGATGAACATCCGCCACGCTTCCGCATCTCTGCGGCCTACAGCTCGTGTCTCAGAGAGACAGTGGGACATGTGCTGACTGGCTTTATGCCATGAAATAAAAAAAGGACCCGATGAGAGCTGGGGTATGTGAAACCCCGTGTGGGTTTTGGTGCAGAAGGTGCTAAAACACATTTTACAATTCTCCCGCAGCATGTCACATGAAAAGAAACACTTGGCTTCCTGTGACAAGACGCTGACATCTGGTGAACTTCCATTCTCAACTTCCATTCTCAAAACACAAGAAAGAGGCAAAAACAAAAATAGATCCCTTATAAATTTATATTTATAAATGATGTACAAATGCCATTTTGCACTGAACCACTGCAACTTGCACACTGTCTCTTATCCTCTGCACTGTTCACACTTTGACCACTGCTGCACTTTTTGTATTTTTCTATAACTCGTGCCATTGTGAAATATCAATGCAACGTTCATAAGCTGTATGTAACGCAATTTCGTTCTGTATGCACCCTGTGCATACAAAATGACAAATAAAGAAGTCTAAGTCTAAGTCTAATTAATTATTTTCTTCAAAAGCACTTAATGGTTTTGATCTGTAAATGTTAAATAATAATACATTTTAATTACCTACCTTCTTACAGTGTATGTTGAGTCGAAATAAAAAATACAGTAAGCCTACAGTAAGAGACAGACATTTTATCTCAGATTAAATCTCATGGTGCGCTCAGATCATCTGATAACATCTGCATCACATCAACTAAATCAGGTTATATTTCCGCTGCTAATCTGATTTAACAGGGGCTTGTTTTCTTGCTTAGTGTCTGACTAATTTCTTACTATATCTTCAAACCACACAGAATCAACCAAGATGGGTTTAGAAACAATAAGTACTTTCTGAAAAAATATGTAGTTTTGACCTTTTTTTTATTATTTTAACCATTTATATACTTTCATAATCGCACCATCTGATCTGGGTTCTGTTATAATTAAGGAAAATAGTGCAATAAATCCTCACTGGTCCCCTGTGAAAACGTACTCTCACACTTGTTAGTCTAGAATTGTTGTCTAGAATTTCTAAAAGTAGAATGGGAGGCAGATCTTTTAGTTATCAGGCTCCTCTCCTGTGGAACCAACTACCAGTTTTAGTCCGTGAGGCAGACACCCTGTCTACTTCTAAGGCTAGGCTTAAAACTTTCCTTTTTGATAAAGCTTATAGTTAGAGTGGCTCAGGATAACCTGAGCCACTCTAACTATAAGCTTTATAGTTATGCTGATATAGGCTTAGACTGCTGGAGGACATACCCCTTGTCTGTGCTGCTGCCATCAACACCTTTGTTTATAGATGTTGGAGATCTGCCTGTTTTCCAGTGTGGTCCTGTTTCTCTGACTGTGACTACCTGGATGTGCTCTCTTCATCCTCTGACATGGGAGCTGGCTCGGAGCTCGTCTGCCTGACTGTGTGATTCCTGGACGGGGCCGCCTGTGGAATCTGCTTCTGTCTCCTTGAACCCCAGTCTGCCTCAGCAGATGGCCGCTCACAAGCCTGGTTCTGCTGGAGGTTTCTTGCTGTTAAAAGGGAGTTTTTCCTCTCAACTCTCACTAAAGCAGGCTTAGTGTGAGGGATTGCATTCGAGTCAATGATATGATGCAATCAAGGGGTTTTCCTTAGATAGAAAACTTTAAATCAATTTGACTGTACGATCTGGTGATCGTGCCTTGAGATGACATGTGTTGTTAATTAGCGCTATATAAATAAACTGAATTGGATTGAATTTTTAACACTCTATAATTAAAAATAATTTTGATGAAGTGCGCTAAAAGGTGGAAAAACTCAATAATTTAAAAAAAGAAGAAGATGAAAAACAAATGAGAAACAAACATTTGTTATTTTGCAGGTAATGCAGGTTTTTTACTGTAAGAGAAAACAAACCTAGTTTTAAAGCCAGGAAGAGAGACAAATGTTCAATTTAAATGACCTGATACATTAAGGCATTGGAATGGCCTGTTAACCTCTTACACCCTCAGGGGGTATAAATAAATTTCTGCCTGACAAAAACACACAAAAGTAAATCACTTATAGCCTCACAGCTATTAGATTTAAGAAGAAACTTTTGGTACGTCTGTAAAGGTAAGATGTCATAGAATGGTTTTCTGGTGTCAGCACCATTGTAGCTTTGACCCTGCCTGAAATATTAGGGACAAAATACAAAATATTTTGCATTTTTTGAACCTCGTCAAAATTTTCTTTGAAATAAACATTGCAAAACACTACCAAAATATTATTTATAGCACAAAAAAGTAGTACAGACTTTTAAATCTAAATGTTGTGTAAAAATATACCAAATTTGGACTCAATCAGATGAATCATATTTATTTTAGAATGGTATTAGTGAGAAATGTCTTAGGCGGAGAGGCCATTTTGGCACATTTATCCAAAAATGTCACCAAACTGTGCCAAATGTGTTTTTTACATCGATACTGGGGTTTTGTTAAAATTACGAGGTCACGTAGCAGCTGGACCCACCGGTGGGTCCGTAGGGTTCAAGGGGCTAAGCATCAATAGAAGTTTTTGTGATGCCACATGTTTAAGGTCATTTAAGACTAAAATCAATATGACTCAATAAAAACAATTCTGCAAAAATAAATGAACTGAAATCACTTCCATAGAGATGTAGAAGATTCATTTCTCTGATATTTAATGGCAGTTTTTGGTGAACGACGCAGCTAATCCTTCAGCATTTTTTAAATTACATCATTCATAACTTAAAACTGCATTTTCTGTTTAGGTTTTCCTGTCAGCACTACCTCGGTACTCTCTGTCTTGCAGTCATTCATAGAAAAAACAAAGGCTTTTTTATAATCCCGTATCTATCACCAGTGTTGCTTAAGTAAGAACAGAAGTGAAACAAGTTTGAAAGAAGAAGTGAAAATAACAAACACAGCGAAAATATGTATCATAGGCAACGACCCTGATCACCTAAATAAACTTAAATAGTAACCAAACCTAAGGTGAGAAAGCGCACCCCTGTCTGGCACCAACACCATCTTTTTTTTGTTCTCAGTAACGGAATAAGAAAACAAATCTTTCTATGCATAATAAGGACCTCTTCTTTTATATGTTTTAGTTTGGATATTATCATATATTTTATATAAAATATCATAATTAAAAACATTGTTTTTAAATGAACTTCCGAAATAAACACACAAAAAAATGCAACATAATATTCCAAGAAATCGTCATCACGCTCAGCATGGTGGAAATACAGAGGAACTGAGCATCAACTGAGCATACTTATATTTTCCATCCAGAACAGCAGAAGTCTGGTATCTTACTCCACAATTCAGATACATAAAACACAATTATAAGGAGGAAGTGAAAACTGTAGTGGTAAAACGTTTGAGCTGAAAACCAGATGAGACAGCTTAAGTCAGGAAGCAAAGAAGAAGCCACAGAGTAGAGCTGAAGGGGGCTTTCTTACCAGGCTGCAGACAAAGCCCTCTTCCTACAGTCACTCTGAATGATAGACAAAAAAAAAAAAAACATATATATATGCAGTAAACACTTAGGCTGGGAGAAAAGCTGCTCACCTTTAAGCTCTAGTTGTAGAGAAACCATAACTGGAAGCTCGTTAATTATTACCAATCAGACTGAACTCCTGATATGTAAAACTTTAATTAAAAAGTGGGTTTTTGTAATAATTCCCCCGACTCAAAAAAAATAAAAAATAAAGGATTGATAATTTTTTTGTGTTTTTGATTGTTTTATTAATATAGACCACATTTTCTCACTCACTGTCAATGATTCAGCAAAAAACATGGTGTTTGTTTTTCTTTTTTCTTTTTTGTTTTCTCAAAAAAACAAACAAACAAGAAACCTGAAAACAAAAATCTGAAAGGGAAAAAGTGGGTCCATCCTTATCTGTAATCAGTGTTGGGGAGTAACGGATTACATGTCACGAAGTTACGTAATTTTACGTAAGTTTACGTAATTTGTTACAGTTACAATGAGAAAATATGTAATTCAGTTACAGTTACTTCCGAAAATATTAAGAATTACAAATTTAGTTACATTTTTTAAAAAATATAAAGAAAAACCTTTGTGAAATATGTAATGATATTTTTATTGCTTCACGCCCTGTATCGCCGTTTCCCGCTACGGCTCCTTGTCTGTATCATATTTGCCACTCTGATGATCCATCCTGTGCTGGTGGTTTGGCATCTAATCAAGTGCAACGTGTGCAGATTGTGCAGCATGCAGTATTTAGAGATAAAATGCAGTTATTCACAGCTAGGGTAAGGAAATATGGTTGATAGATATGTGCAGCAGAATAAATAAATTACCCCTAGGGAAATGCATGTATGTGCAGAGCCACTGTAGATAGGGCTGTACAGGTGCGAATTAAAGAGAAACACTGTACAAATGTTGGGATGGTACAGTAAGGTATGGATTGAGGGGAAGGAAAGACTGGTCTTTGGGAAGAGTTCGATAAGGTGACCGCTGTAGGAAAGAAGTGGTTTCTGAACCTGCTTGTGTTAGTCTGCAAACTTGCGTAAATGGTAGAGCCTGGGGGAGGAACAGAAAAGAGTATGGCCCGATGAGAGGAGTCTGAGAAAATCTTCCATGCCTGGTGCTGGCATCTCTTCTTGTGGACATCCTGTGATTGCCTGTCAGCAGTTCCCTCTCAGCTTAGTGCTTTTTTAAGGTTCACATTCAG